ATCAGTAGAAATGAGCTAGATCGCCGACGGCCCGCAGGTGCGAAAGGGTCCCAGGACTGTCTGATAGAGAAGAGTCATCGATCAGTCGGACCGCCCTCCTCTTGACTGCATCGAACATAAATAATGTAGTTGGGGCGGCAGCACCCCAAACGTGGTTAGGCCCTATCTGGGCCTTGTATAGAGTGAGAACGTCATGCGGTGAAAAGTACTTCTCAGCCCTAGACAAATAGCCTAGCTTTTTCCCAGCAGCTGCCGCTATTGACGAGATGTGTTCGTGCCAGATCAGGTCCTCGGTGATCTGGACTCCGACCAGCCGAAATGAATGGCTCTTTGGCAGAACTCGGCCATCCATCGAAACCGAATCAGCGCTAAGTCGCTTTTTGTTGGTCAAGGTACAGTACTATGTTTTGGAAGCTTTAAACTGTACAAAATTGTTGCGTCCCCATCAGTGATAACCCCCAGGTCTCTCGTCAGAGAGAAAATCGTCGCTAGTCTTCTTTTTTACAGCTCAGCGGCAGAGATCGGTTTGTCACTCTGAATTCCTGCATGTAGAGTGCTGAAGGCGAAGCTGTGGATTGGGCTGACCGTGCAGGAAAGGTGGTCATTGATATGTAAGAGGAACAGTGTCGGACCCAAGACCGATCCCTGGAGAACACCCGCGTGGACGTTGTGGGATAAAGAAGAGAACCCGTCAAATACGACTGATATCTTGCGGCCAGGATGGTTTACCCCCCTCCATATACACTGTGTCCAGCCCTAATCCTTGATCATACTCCACAGCCTTGATACAGGGCTTTGAATGTAGTTTTTCCTGTTGGATTCGCGGTTCCTTATATCTGAAGCCTTAGGCTCGCCAGGCCTACGCCTACGCAGTGACACAAAAGGTGTCCACATACTCTCTGGAGAATTGGTATATGGTCTCTTCTGCTGGAACTATGACCCTCATATGTCGCTGTCGAGATCCACTATGGCATTTAATGATTTCTTATTAAATTAAAGCATCTTCTGTAAGTGAAGGTGTTCGTTATTTCTTTTGTCTGTCTTTGCACTAACTGGCTGTCCACCATTCTAGGGACTTTCCTTGGTCTACTGTTGGTACTTCTTGATGGGTGTTCTCGTCACGCCACAGAAAGGCTCTGGACTAGCATTGTCACATATCCCAATTTGCGCTTGACGAACCGATTTTCAAAATCAAAATAAATTATTTAAACTAATAAACACTGTCTATAACTAACTTATAAACTGTCAGTTGCGACACAATAAATTGAACCTTAACTTTGAAAAACCTTGAATTTTGTTCCTGTTTTGTTTGACCTTCTACCTCGATTTGAACCAAATCGGCACCTCAAAAAAAGACATAAATGCCATCTTGCAGACTATATAGCCTTTAGGGTGCAAACGGTCATTTCACGCTTGCTCAGTAGGATCGTTGTGAGCATCCATCTATGGAGAAATGGCTCAACTACACGCACTGTTGGTTGCATATGTTTTGTGAAGCCGAGTAGTCTGTAGTTTCCATCTCAGGAAAGAAAGTTGGTTGAGTAGCAAGATCGCATCTGGATGATTGTGTATTGGTCTGAATGTGTATAAAATCGGCGATATTTGCTGTGTGATAAAATCACTACTGAACATGCTGCCAATGAAGTATATCTATCAGCTGTGCCCGACGAGTTATGTATGTTGTCGTTTCTGAAGACAGGTTATGTTCAAAGTTAAAAATTAGCCGGTTTTTTACGTTTTCTTTTTAACTTTGAGGTGAATTATCGGAAATCACCACCGCGCCCGTGTTGTGTGTAATTATTGTTAGCATGTAAATGACTTGTAATTCCACAGTGTACAATAAACATAATTAGTTCTTGTCTCTCTCGTTTTTGAAATTCAGCAAGTTTTCGTATGTAATTTCCAGAATGGATAAGAAAAGGTGGACCCGCAACTAAAGCTTTGAATCTCAAGTAAGTGTATTTGAGACAAGAATCCAATGGAATTATCATCAACACATATTATTAGCAAATCCTCATTATGCACCTGTGCATTGCCGTTTCCTTCTAGCTATAGTATACAACTTGCAGCTGAGACCTCCAGTAATTCCATCTCTGATAGTCCAATCATATTAGCAAATTTCCCCGAAATAATTGTGAAGTCTGGTTTCAATGGTGCAAGTTGTTCAAGGGGGTATTTAAAACATGGACACATAAAATGGGTACACCAATTTTTGTGGGAAAACTTTTTATTTCACAACAAAGAATGAGAAAACGTGCTTTTTTGGAATTCAATCGAAAGTGTTGACAGGAACGAAAAAACTTTTCATATAAGATGTTTAGGTATTTATGAGACCTACAAAAGGAGACCACATGTGAAAAGATACGACTGATAGCAAAAATGTTATGGTCGAAAAACGACGCAAAATGCAGGTTTTGGCACTTGTCGGTAATGCGAAGATAATTTGATACAACTACTTGAAATTCTTCAAGTCCGTAGGAATAACAACAAAATTAGAGTATATTGGTCAAGTAGTTTTTTGAGAATGTCTAACTGTTTTTCCGAAAAGACCTGTTTTCCGGCTATCACTTCTAGTTTATTGAGAAATATACAGAGTTCGTTCAAAGAGCATTTAATAGTAAAATACACGTGTTTACCTTGCCGATATGAATCACAAACCATTCCGAAAGATACATGTTATTTTTATGCGAAAAACAAAGGTAACGTTTTTTCTTCTAAACAAATTCAAACATTTTGTATTTGGGAGTAATTGAACAAATGCGTTACGATATTCGAAAAACATATACTACTATACACATTTTAAGACAAAGTGGATGTGCATTTCATCTTTTGTTGCCCGTACAAATACGAAATAATTGAATTTTTTTAGAAGAAAAAACGTGACCCATCCTTTTTTGCATAAAAATAACATTTATCTTCCAGAATGACTTGCGATTCATATCGGCAAGGTAAACTAGTGTATTTTGCTATAGAATGCCCTTTGAACTAACCCTGTATATTGCTCAATAAACTAGTAGTGATGGCCGAAAAACAGGTGTTTCTGGATACACAATTTGAAATTCTCAAAAAACTACTTGACCAATCTACTCCAATTTTGTTGTGGTTATTTAAAAGTACGAATCCTGCTAATTTGGAGAATTTCAAATATCTGCGAAAAACCATCGTCGCATTACCAACAAGTGCCAAAACCTGCAATTTGTCTTGGTTTTCGGTCATAACTTTTTTGTTATTAGTCGGTCTCATTTTGTAGGTCTCCTAAATACCTAAAAATCTTATATGAAGAGTTTTTTCGTTCCAGGCAACACTTTCAATTGAATCCCAAAAAACACGTTTTCTCATTCTTTGTTGTCGAATAAAAAGTTTTCCTCACAAAAATTGGTGTACCCATTTTATGCGTCCATGTTTTGAATACCTCCTTGAACAACTTGTACCAATAAAACCAGTATTTACAATTATTTTGCAAAGCAGGGGTATTTTCGTCTAATATGATTAGCTTATGAGCTAGTGCTAAGTTAACACTTTGTACTACATAATGTCACAAAAAACCAATTCACTGTCGTAGCGTCACTTTTCAAGATACGTAATACCCGTGCGGTCCTCTTTGATGCGCCTTGACCGGGTTACTTATTCACCTGCTCAGTTAATCTGTTCCCTGGTACCCCGGCCAATGACGAAATGCAGGACTATCTATGCACTTGTTGATCGAAACTTCTGTCTGTCCAATCAGAAACATTACGTCCTGTGCACCTTCTTCACGTACACATACGTAACTTAGTGGCAGGACTGCCGTCTCGCTTGTCGACATCTACGTCGTGAGTCCAAGCGCGGTGGCCGATTTTAAAAATTTTATACATTTATGTGCGACAACTGCCCCTCGTTAAATATTTTCTCGATTTGGCGTTTTGGCTGCCTCTTTAAACTTATCTGTAAATGTTGATCTGGTGCGGCAGGAAAAGCCCACCGACCGGTCAATTAGTGTCAATCTTCTGCCATTTCCAACTGTCTTCAACCATGCTGAAGCCATGAACTACCGAACTTCGGCTGCTGATGTGGCGTACAAGCCGCGAGAGGTATGTTTATGGATGTGTGTTTGACCAAGAAACCACTCGAAATGGTACTTCTATAATACGTATACATATACAAAAGGTATTTTTTGAGAGTTTTGATTGCAGGATACAGATATGAACTGCCTCTTGTGTATTAGCTTCATGGACAATCACTCAGTGAAGTGCTGTTAGGTCTAAAACTTGGAAACCGGGTCCGCAAAATGGATTATTGAAATTTTCAGGGGTATGCGTTCAAAATAATCTACATATTAAAAAGTTTACTCTTTAATTGTGTGCGCTTTTGATTTTCAATCGCTTACAATTTTTTTTAAATTTAGATGGGTAAATCGAACAAAAAAGTTCGTCATATTATGTGTTTAAAAGTAAAACAGTTCAAGTTATTTTTTCTGATACCGATATTCTTAGATTCAATCACTTTCATAATGTAGATGATAGGTATTAAGGGACTACGGTTTCTGGTTACTTGTCCTTTATTTATTTCTCGAGGCACGAGGATTCTCGACTAGGGTTTCTGAAGCTTTTCGAATATTTCGAGAAATTTTGAAATGCCTAACAAAAAAATGTTTTTTTCAAATTTTCGCTTTATTTCAAATGAATCTGATAGTTGAGACCATTTAATGCCCACAAACTGGGGTTTAGCACTTGCAAGGTAAGTTTTCTTATAAAAAAAGTGAAGTAAAAACCCTAAAGCTGCACAACTTGTTTATAGGCCAAAGAAAATTCACTATTAACTCCACTGCAAAAGAAAAATCGGCTTAGATGGGCTAAAGGACATAGACAATGCACACCTCAACAATGGTGTGCAATACAATGGAGTGATGAGGCCCGATTCGAAGTTTGTGTGGGTGACAGTCGCAGTAGAGTTATTCGCAAAAAAATGAAGCATTCCATGTTGACTGTCTGAAGAGAAAAGTGAAATTTCCAGCATCCATTATGGTCTGGGGCAGTATGTCATCAAAACAAGTAGTGTTTCAGCAAGATGGTGCAGCGTGCCATACCTCAAAAAAGGCTATAAAATGGATGGAAGAAAATAATGTATCACTTTTGAAATGGGTTTCTAGTAGTCCAGATCTGTCACCTATTGAAACTTTGTGGCACGGGATGAAAAAGGTTCTACGAAAACATCCTGCTCGTACAATCACCGAACTGAAATAAAAGATTCAAAAAATATGGGATTGTTTTACACCAATTTTTTGCCAAAACTTGGTTAACACTATGCCACAAAGAATTTCATCACTTGTCTCTTCAATTATTGGATTACCAAATAAACAAGTCTTTAATTAAATGAAAAATAATATGTACAAAGCATGTCGTTTGCACAACCCTTTTGGTATCGACCTACTTCTGAAACAAATTGGATGAACGGTTTTTCGCTCAAAGTGTTAGAGACTGGAGCTGGAGCTAGTTTATTCTATCAGTTACCAGTACATCGCTCATTTAGTAGTACAGTATTGTTACCATGTTATTGGTAACAAGGATAAAAGGTGGCATAGTTGTTAGGCTTCGCCTTCACAGCACTACTACTATAACTACTACTTATAGGAATAACTTCGTTGGCAATAATTTGGGATGGTTTTACTCGGCAGCATTCACAATAAGGCTTAGAGGCTGTAGTGTCATTCGGCACTTTGGTCGAACAGATACGGTAAACAAAAGCAAAAAGAAATCTGACTCAGTCCAAGAAGATTCAGGCACTGCCGATAGTTTAGATACTAGTATTTTAGTAGCTCTTATTATCCTATAAAGTGGAGATTTAAATAGAGCCAAGGAAATCTAAAAAGACCCAAAGAAATCCATGTACGAGGGATGTTTTTTAAGTTTTGCATATAGAAACATAGTAGGCCGCGCGGATCGAACATCAGTACTGAATCTTAACCTCATTCTTTAGTGAACTTAAATTCAAAGTTTCACAACAATACATGCAGTGTTCTCACTACAGTGAATTTTTAAGTGTCACCAAGTCAGAAAATCCAACAAAAGTCATCCGTTCTCGAAGTGTTTCGAAAAAGATGATCGCGACATTTGTGTCAAAAGCGGGTCATATTGTAACAATTCCTCTTAATGAGCAAAGAACTGTTACTGCGGATTGGTATACCACCATTTGTTTGCCAAAAGTCATCACCGAGCTTCGAATAATCAACCCTGAAAGAAGAATCATCCTCCACCAAGACAATGCAAGCCCGCACACAGCCCAGAAAACAAGGCAGTATTTAACGGAAGAAAATGTGGAATTATTGGGCCATCTTCCATATAGTTCCGATCTAAGTCCTATCGATTTCTTTACTTCCCCGAAAATTAAAAACAAACTGCGTGGTCAAAGGTTCCAGTCACCAGAAGAAGCAGTTGACACATTCAAAAATGGAGAGAGTGGAGAATTACCTACAATAAAGTCATTTAAAACTGCCTACCGTGTTGTTTTATTTCCATATGCAAAACTTAAAAGACATCCCTCGTACAGGCAATCTTTCTTTCCAATGAAAAGTCAGTAGTTATGGTGGTGATTCTGAACGTGATATTTTAAATTTCGTTTCAAAATCTAAATGAGGCCTGATCTAGGTGTGTTATTTAGGTTTTTCACAAGTGGGCGATGTCTTGCACCTTCAATTGCAATATTTGACTTATCTTTCCTTTAAATTTATAGTGAGTTACCTTATGACAACGAATATAAGATCTACGAATACATTTTTGTACACATTAACATCATTTCTGAGAGTACAAATGAATGTTGATTTCAATATCCTCCATTACGAAGCCACACATAATCGCATAATATCCTCTAAACTCCAAACGCATGTCATTGAATAGACCAAACAAAAATCAAACTGACAATGAATGCAGTGCACCTGAAATACATCCTCTTCTGTGTTCTTCCAAATGAGCTCAACTAATTCAATTTCCTGTAACCCTACACCAAGCCTGTCGGCGTACCTTTTTAGGACCTAGTCCGAGTAAAGACGACAAAAATAAGCAGCAAGGCCATTGGGACCAGTCCATATCAGACAGGGCTGGGCTGAAAGAGTAAATTAACGTGAGTTTCATCTCAAAATCTCATTTATTTTATATGTTTAGTACTTTATTGACAATTGAATGGCTGAAATGGGGAGGGGGTGTAGTAGGCGTGATAATACTTTAAAGATACATAATCCATTAGAGAGGAGGGTGAGTACCCCCAGTTTCCAGGGTCAAATAGTAGTCCCGGACAACCAGGGGACGTATATGGTTGAAACTAGTGGGGTGAAGCAAATGGCGGAAGTGCTTTTAGTATAATTTTCCATGGAGTCCAATTTCATCTATACATTGTGGTATCAAAAAGACATGGCTTTTGTCAGAACTATGCTCTTCCCCATGTTGCATCAATAAGCGGGTCAGTACAGGGCAGAATTACTTTTTTGAAGCTGGAGTGTAAAACTATAGCAACCTTTGCCAACTTATTATGTAAGATCTTTATACGTACTTCGAATCCTGGACAAACCATTAAGGCGCTGATTGGTAAATGGAAGAAAGTTCTTCATTCTGCATCAGTAGGCATTTCACGATTTTCATCCTTCTATTGTCTGTTAGCAGATTTTACTGACCATGGATACAATCCTCTGAAATCTAGGCTAATTTAATGTTACCTTATACCTTTGGAAAGCGATACAGTTAAAGCCATGTTTCTGCTCGATTTTATAGTCTGATGGTATGTTAGATTTGTCAAAGCTCTAAATCTATCTGTTCTGCCTCCCATGGTATATAATTTGTCCACTTATTCAAAACCTTAGGCAATTCGTTCTGATATTCAAAATCGCAGTGGCCACTACTGCGTTCATTAGTGATTCTCTTAATATTACGATTTCCCTTTCCAGTTCTCAGAGGAAATACATCGAGAAATCATTGGAGGATTCATCTAATTGTTTGGTATAATTACTTTGACATACTGTTCTTACTAAATTATACTCCCAAGCATAACGCCTATATGCTTATACCCATGTTATATAGGTAATATCGCGTTCACCTCGTATATACTCGTACTTCCATGCGTATCGCCTGCTCCTATGAGTAACCGGCGTGGATTATCGCACGGTGGTAACGTATTTTTTTTATTTTTTATTTATCTGACGACGCGAGTCGAAAACTTTCCTTCATCATTCTAAGTTTTAAGGGTGATTTTTATTTTTTCGTTTTTGACATTTTTCTCCGTCACTACTGGACCGAAAACTACAAAGGTTTTTTGTCCTCGGCATATTAGTAACAGTGTGACAAAATTGAATAAAGATCGGAGCGGTATTTTCTAATTTATAAAGGAGCCAAGGATCAGCGGACAGACGGACAGACAAAGTTACCGACTCATTTCCGAAATTTTTCGTAATTACAATACATCCTCGCCTGCAGGTATCGGAAGTAAGTTATATCTTAGTGCTTGGATGAAGTGTTGAAAACTTGGATCTGTCTCAATGAAATGATTAAAAGGCTAACTCCGATCCTGTATAGAAGAAGAGAGCCAGCTCTCGCGATAATGACGTGTCCGATTACCGCGGTGCCGCTGATTTCTTTCAGTGGGCGTTCACTTGTGAAATTGCCCCGTCAGGGTCAGGCCTTACCTGCCTTATATTAGCCGGGCCGTGGACTCTGAGCTTCTTCTTCTTCATCTTCTTCATCCTTCGCAGCTATGCCTGCACGTGTTTCGAAATATATTACCCGCCTGAAGAGTTACGAACCAACGGGATTAGGCTGCAGGAATGAGCCATTGGCCCACTGGCATTCCATTCAAGTTTAGTTTAACTAGATGTTAGGTGGAAATTGAAAGTTGGCGATTGTTGGATGACGCTTCATCATGATGCAATGCTTCAAGCAATCAAAAGTATTATGTCACTTCACTCTCATGTCTGTTGGTCTGTCAGGTAATATTTGGCCTTTCTATAACTCTGAAAGCATTGCTCAGATTTTGATGAAGCTTTGACACAAATTTGCTGCTATGCCAAGGGCGAAAACTCTTCATAAGACAAAACATGAAAAAAAATAGACATCGCTCAACCTTTGACTGACTTGATCCATTACATGGGAAAGGCATTGTCAAGCTACTTGACGCTACTTTTTATGTCCAAATATCACAATGTCTTTTTTGTGGCACTCAAGTGGCAAAACTTAAAAAAATAAATCTTTCGATACTACGTATCAAAATGTATGGTTAGAGGTGGTTTTAAAATCCTAACAACAAATTTAAATGTTGGCTAGAGCTCATGCCATCCAAATCCAGATGGATATCGTAAAGATTTGTGTATAATAGCTACAGGACCATCAGTAACAGCCCGTCTATAACGGTCGCTTATATGTCCTTTAATAAATTAGGCGCAAGTACACATATTCAAATTGTCTTTCGGATAGATAAGAAATCCATTAGAAGTGCCGAATGGCTTCGAATGAATCCTATTTTTAAGTAAAATGAAGCTATTAGTGTGTATCTATTGGAATTTTGAAGGTGCCTTATCTGTTTCTCCGATGAATTAAATACGCCATTAACAACAAATTTAGATAAAGGTCTAACAAGTACAACGACCGTTTTCAAATGTCAGACCGTATCAAAATTCATCTGGTGAGCTCATCCTACCGTAGATGAAGATTTACTGACATCATATATCTCCAACTATTATCAAATAATATGATCAGGTAAACTGATGCACGTCCCCCGGAAATCAAAAATGTTTAATCTAAATATTATAATAAGCCTATATTAGTATCCCAGAGACTAGCAGTGCCACTGAATGTGCGTTACTCTGCATTGTGCATACATGGGATCATCTGCCACTACATACTGGGAATATCTCAACAAGTTATGACTGAGCAACAATCCAACCATCAACTTAAGCTTGTTACTATGTCTAGATAATGAGCAAATGCACCTTTCTTGGGACCGGCACGGGTATTACGTATCTTGAAAAATGACGTTATAGCGATTTTTTTTGACTTTATACTGGTTTATTTTGATATTATGCAGGTTTTTCGACAAGATGTTAACTGCTGCAGAGATGGCATTACTTGAGGTCTAAGCTGAGGCATAGTGAGGATTTATGTGATAATAATGTGTGTTGATGATAATTCCATTGGATTCTTGTCTCAAATACACTTAGCTAAGATTCAAGGGTAGAAATTAGTTGCGCATCAACCTTTTCTTATCCATTATGGAAATTACATATGCAAACTTGCTGAATTTAAAAAATGAGAGGGATAAGAAATAATTATATTCACTGTACACTGTCGAGTTACAAGTGATCTACATGCTAATAGTAATTACACACAACGCGGACGCGGTGGTGATTTTTGTAATTCTTCTCAAAGTTATTGAAAACACAAAAGAAAAAAAAAACGGAAAAATGGTAATGACTTACGTTGAACATAATCTCGCTTCAGAAAGAACAACACAAATGAACCGCCTGGCACAGCTAATAGATATACTTCATTGGCAGCCTAGTCAGTAATAAGCTTCTTATATATAGCAAATATTACAGGTTTTATACACATGCAGACCAATCCAGACCAATCCAGATGCGGTCTTGGTACTCAACCAAACTTTCGTTCTTTCACATTTTAAACACTATAATTTGTCTGCAAAGTGGCTGTCTGCTTGGAAGGAGCCGAGCATGCCACGCCATATCGTTCATTCATTCCTCCATAGATGGCCGCTTTGGATCGCACTCACAACGATCCTAGTGAGCAAACATGGAATGACAGTTTGCACCCTAAAAACTACCTAGTCTGCAAGATGACATCTTATAGGTTTTTTTACGTTTTTAGGTTTTTTACATAATACCCCTGCCGATTCCACAATGAACACGTGCATTTAAAAATGGTAGTCCATTTCAGGGACTGTTGCCACGATATTCATTCTTTTGTACGGGTAAATTCAAAGACAAACAAAGCCAAGAGAAGAGCTCCACGTAGGGATACTTGGGGTATCAAGTAAATCAGGCACTTATACCGTTTTCTTTTGGTAACACTTATATTGCGCTGGCGCATATTGTAGGCACTTTTGACAAAACTATAGTATTCTCGTATATTCATGTTCTTTTGGTCCGCAGTTTGGCACCTGAAGGAGCCGGTTGTAATGTTTTCTGTCAACAGTGTCACATTTTGCAGCTTTTAGTTCTAAACTTGCATGCAACCAGTCTTTTATAGCCAGTCTTCTCAGGGTTTTCTCTTCTCTTCTTCGAAAATTTAGTATAACATCATGGAAAAAGTTGAGGAAATGGAAACAAATATCGTTGACGGTGTTATATGTTCTTTTGGGGGAAAATTTGAGATGAACCAAGAAATAATGTATCAACCACGGAAACTGCACCAGCCTTATCCAGAAAAAATGCTATTAGCAACTCAGTTTTAAATTCCCATTTACACTTGACTTTTTCAAATTG